CTAAGTTTCTGTCCACACCTGCTCCCTGGTTTTTCTTATTGAAGCATACATTTAATAGCAGTGCAGTAAGTTTTATTATCAGATGAAGTAGCCCTTATCCGAGATAGTAGGCCCTAAGGGTTTCTGATCTAGAATATCTGCATAGAGTTTACTGATTGAACATTTGTACCCTAAAATTTCACTACCTAAATTTTTAAAAACATTTCCGATTTTGGAGGATTTTGACTTTCACATTTTAAAATTACATATGCTTCGTATGTACCTTAGATACCTAAAAATCATTCCACACCATTCATATTTGCTGTCTCTTGAATTTTTTCTTTTTTTTATATTTTATGGGTAACTTTCGGTAGTGTTTGGTTGAAATTCTATTTCTGTGTAAGCAGGATTAATCCATTGTTTCACTTAAAAATCAAGGCTTACGTAGACTATCTTTTTCTAAGATGGAAGAAACAGGCACCATCTAACCTAGCTCTATGCAGAGTACGTTCCCAAAAGCAGCAGCAGTTCTCAGCACTGAGGTGTGACTCAGGGAGCCAGGCAGTTCTTGTTGTCCTTATATGGCATTGTACATGGGAGATAGTATTTAGAAGCTTGTTCTGTCTGCAAATCTTTTGCAAGGTGAAGATAGGCATGTGCTTCTGAACTTCCTTTTTCTGTATGTACCTAGAACTAAGCCTTATGTTGGCAAATGGAAGGAAAGTATTTCCTATGTGCAATATACCAGTGCTCAGTAAGAGATTACATGTAAGAAATATCCCTAAATTTTTTAAAACTCTAGAACTATTCTCAAGATTCAGATTAATTTATGGAATGATTATAAGTGAAATTTCTATCAGTAAAAAAAATCATATTTTGGTGGGCATATATATAAATCATATAGATTGGTAGAATACAATCAAATTTTACTTTATTGCAAAGAACATAAGTTAATCAATAAACTTTTACAAACATTTTCTAGAGATCATGTCATTTAATGTAAATAATTAAATCATTTGTCAAACTCTGAGCATTTATTTTATTATTTCTTAAAATTGTATTAACCAATGATAGTATAGTTTGTGTGTTGGCATGTGTGCATGCATGTCTGTGTGTATCTCTGTGTGTGGTGTATTGTTGTGCATGTATGTCTGTTCTGGTATGCGCACTCCTGTGCAAAGGCCAGAGATGGCCAGACCAGCTGGCCATCAAACTCACAGGATCCGCCTGCCTCTGCACCTCCTACCCCTGGTGCTCAGGTTACAGCTCTTACCCAGTGTCTTAGTTACATTTATCATTGCTGTGATGGAACACCATGACCGAAAGCAACTTGGGGAGGAATGGTTTTCTTTGGCTTATGAGCTTCCACATCACTGTTCATCACTGAAGGAAGTCAGGGCAGGAACTCAAGCAAGGCAGGAACCTGGAAAGAAGAGCTGAAGCAGTGTCCATGGAGGGGTACTGCTTATTGACTTACTCCACCTGTTTTCTTATAGAACTCAGGACTGCCTGCCCAAGGGTGTCGTCACCCACAGAGGGCTTGGCGCCCCCTCCTCGACAATCACTCATTAAGAAAATGCCCACAAGCTATACTACAGCCCAATCTTCTGAAAACATTTTCCCAGTTGAGGCTCCCTCATCTCTGATGACTCTAGCTTGGGTCAAATTGACATAAACTAGCTAGCATACCCACTAAGCCATCTCTAAAGCTCTTGATAATATTTAAACTATTCATTAATGGGACATAAAGAGAAATGGAATGTTTACCGCTGATGGGATCCATGTTTTCATTATCTAAAATTATACAAACAAGTACTAAATTTCATTTAGAGTGGTATTTAATACCATTGTCAGGGCAACATTAAAATTGTTTTAACACTTTTTCTAAGCCTGTAATTGTTCTGAAAAATGTCCACTTTTTATCCTCAGATGTTACTTGTATTTTTCACTATACTTTACCTTAACCTATTTTTTATTCAATATGTTTGTACATTTTCTGAAATATAGTGCTAACTGAAACTGAATGCCAATTATATACAAGCAAATCTCAATGAAATAAAATTCAGCCCAATCAAAAATCTGCATGTTTTTTTCTCATCCAAGTTATTTTTACAGTTTTTTGTTTTTGTTTTGTTTTTAGTTTTTGAGACAGGGTTTCTCTGTGTAGCCCTGGCTGTCTTAGACTTGCTTTGTAGACCAGGCTGGCCTCAAACTCACAGAGATCTGCCAGCCTCAACCTCCCCAAGCACTAGGATTTTAGGTGTGCCCCACCACTCCTGGGGGATTTTTTCAGTTTCTTAAAATTAAAATATAATTATATTATTTATCCCTCCATCTCTTCCCTCTAACCCCTCCTATATTCTCACCTCACTCCCTCTTATTTAATTATTATGTTACATGTGTGTTTAAGTGCATAAATATATAAATACAACATACTATGTTCAATGTTGCTTGTATATAATATGATTTCAGGGTTAATCACTTGGTATTGAATAGCCAATTAGGGGAACCTCCCTAAGGAAGACTAGCTTACCCTCTCTTGGCAGTCATTGGTTGTCTGTACCTCTTCATCCGGGGGTTTGGCCCCATGACATTTCCTTCATCCACATGAGCAAGTCAACTGATGTTGTCATTATTCAAGTCTTGTTTAAGCAGCCATATTGTTGATATTTCTTAGGTATAACTTCTGGGTCCTATCTAAAAGACACTAGCATGCAGCAGATATCCTGATCCTCTAGTTCTTAAAATATTTTCACTTTCCTCAGTGTTTCCTGAACCTTGGGTGTATGGTTGTATTGTAAATCTATCAGTTGGGGCTGGGCAGCCCATGATCAATTGCTGTGTGCATTTTAACAAAATGGTGCTTTTGGGAATGGTCTCTACCTACTACAAAAGAAGCTTCGTTGAGGGGTGAGAGCCACTTACCTGTGGATATAAGGAATATTGAGAATGCCACTGGATCTGACCTGAAAGTTTTATCCTCGAGGATCAACTTTCATAGTACTGGAAAGTACTTTACAAGCTGCCATAAAAAGGATGCTACCAATTGTCGTCACTAGCTGTGACACCTATTAGCTGGAATAATGACCAACATGGCAAGATAGCTCTGAAGGTGCAGTAGTGACATTTATTATTTCAGTAGTAATCAACAGTTCTCTAATTGGACTTAAAGCCTGATCAACATAGGGCAAATAATGCCTGGTACTATAAACCTAGCCATTTCTCCAGGGCTAGTGAGATCATGGGTTTTAGAGGAGAACCTACTACTTCCCCTTTACTTAAACCAGTATAATTCCTAACTGCATTCTAAATATTTCTTGCTCTTTGACACTGATTTCCAAGCCAGAGGCCAAACTTGAGTTTTAAGAAGTATTCTAGGTTGGACATGATGGCATACACCTTTAACCCCAGCACTTGGGAGGCAAAGACGTAGATCTCTGTGACTTCAAGGCCATTTTGATCTACACAGTGAGTTCCAGGCCAACCATGAGTACATAGTTAAGACTCCATCTCAAAAAAAAAAAAAAAAAAACAAAAACAAAAAAAAAAAACGTAGCAGTAGTAGTCATCATCTTTGTCATTGTCATCTAGGTGGAAAAACAGCTCTGTTGGGAGAGTGTTAGAGTGCAGAAGCAGCATTTTGACTTTTAAAGAAAATCGAGTCTTGGGGTTTGTCACAACAACCTTTTACATACTCAGACAATGACATTCTGGTTTTGTGTACAGCAAAAACAAAATGAGCAAAACAAAAACAAAAGACAAAAAAAGCCCTGCCTAAACCCTGGCCACAGTTTTGCAGATTCCCTAAGGGTACCTCCTTTCTACTATTGCAATATACAATGTTCCTTCAGCTTTGTCCAGAATAATGACTGGAAAAATGTTGATTATGCCCTTTTTTTTTTCATTTAGACATGTTTTCCTCTCCATCTTATTTATCTGTCTATCTTTTATTCCTTTGTTCATCCAGCTACTTGGAAAATATTTGTTGATTCCTGCTTTGCCACGCTACACTGACCTGGGGGTCAGCAATCAGTCCCTGCTCCTTAGAGCTCACTGCTTGTTCTTGAACATACATGAAGTTTTCATTTTGCTCTTTTTAATTTCAACCTGTAGGTTTTCTTTAGTTTTCAAAATTCTTCACTCCAAAATGTATCAGAATAACACTTAGGCACCTGGGTTTAATACACATTAAGCTTTTACTGTGTTTGTGTCAAAACTCTTCATGCATGACCATTAAGTTTAAATTGGTCTGTATGTTGCATATGTTATCATAGATGCTTTGAATTATATGATATTTACATAAGGAAAATGGTAGCGTTTTAATATTGTACATAAATGAGTTCATGTAGTCCATACCTTTTTACTGTTGTGTCTGGTTTTCTTTCGCACTCAATACTTTTTTTTTTTTTTTACTCAGTACTATTTTTTTTATGTGTATGTGTGTTTTGCCTGTATGTATGTCTGTGCAACCACATTTGTACATTGTCCCTGGAGGCCGGAAGAAGATTTGGATCCAATGAAACTGGAGTTAAAAATGGTGGTGAGCTACCGTGTGGGTACTGGGAATCCAACCCAAGTCTTCTCAAGAGCAGCCAGGGCTCTTATATGTCTCCAGCCCACTCAATACTCTTTCTGAGATGGCCCCATGTTTAATGCACGTGTGTGGTACTTCATGTGGTCGATAAACCACAGTCACAGTTTACGTCTTCAAGCTTTTACTTTATGTCCTTAATTGTTCCCGCTTCTGAGCATCATTTGCATATGCGTTCTTATGTGTGTATTTGCATGCTTCTGTAAGAGACGTAACTTTCGGTGACTCGCTGGGTCATATCATCACACGTACATCCTTTGCATCACACTATCAGAGTGAGAGGTGGACGGATCGTTTATATATCCACTTTAAGTCAGTCCCTTTGCCCTTAGCTTAGTTATTTACTGTTTAAATTCTTCCCGTTTTCTTCTAAGCAGCGACAATGGGCAATCTCACTTTCATTAGAATTTTATTATTTCATATGTGAGCAGAGATTTAAGCATAAATGAATACAAAAGCAAGTGATATAAGTTTTTGAAGTAACATACATACTTTCTGACATTTCAACTCAGAAATTTAAACACACTTAAAATTAGTATCAACAATTTTACTAACTCTTTAGTGGCTTGAAAAGCAATGACACTTCATTTGTTTTGTTGTTAAATCCATGGGCTTGACTTAACTTTATAACTGTTAAAAGTGTTAACTTAACAATGTGTTCTAAGAAGAAGAAAAAAACCAATGTATTCTGATTCTACATATAGTTCTAAAATCTAGGGATTAATGTAAGTTTTTCTTTCCCTTGAACTATTTTACAATTAAACAAGTGAAAGATCACTTCTAAATATCTAGATTTGGGACATGCTATGGCTTTGTTCCATAATTTTACCAATCTCAAGGAATGTAGAGGCTGGCTTATGTCATTCGTTTTAGCCCATTTACCTCAATTACTCTTAGTGCTGTATGGCATTTTGGCTGTCACAGATAGATCATGCAGGGAATATCCTGGCTTAAATTCTGAAGTACTATCACTTCTGCTTGCTTCACTTTGAAATCTTCGAAAAAGAAGTTGACACATGATTTTGCGAATATTACTGGACATTAGGAAATACATGACTGGATCTAAGCAGCTGTTGAAAGAGGAGAGAACCAGCATGATCTCATTGGTTTTGTGAATAATTTCCTTCCAGGAGCAAGAAGACACATTTAGCTGTGAAGAAATGTAGATGAATCGAAAGGCATGATAAGGAACAAAGCAAATAGTGAAAATGATCAGTACAATAAAGGAATTCCGGGCTGTTGTAGCATATTTGCCAGAATTAGGAAATTTTGACCTCCTTTTAGAAATCTTCAATAGGTTCTTGCCAATCTTAATATATGAGAGGATAATCAGTAGGAAAATAAGCCAGAACATCACCACTAGAACAAAGTTAAAAACTGCTTCTCCTTTTGCATTATGCCTGTCTCTGTAATGGAAACACATTGTGGAATTGTGCCCTCCCTTCTTCAGCGTCAAAATAATCATAGTTAGAAACCCAGCAAGAGCAACTGCCCATACTACACAGCAAACATAAATACTTTGCTTGGTAGTTATTGCCCTTCTTTGATGTATAGACCGATTAATTTTTACGTAGCGATCCAAACTGATAAACCCCAGCAAAATAATGCTAATGTACATATTCATGTAAAATAGTGTTCCCACAACCTTGCAAAGAATCACACCTAGTGTCCACTTATTTTGGTTGATGTGATACATTATGCGGAAAGGGAGGCAGAAGATGAGTAGAAGGTCTGCAATGGCCACGTTAAGTAGATAAATTTGAATAGAATTTCTTTTGCGGTGGATGCCCAGAAATACGTAGAGGGCAATGATGTTTCCAACCAGTCCCACGATGAATATAACAGAGTAGAAGGTTGTTAACACAGTAGATAGTAATTTTTCATCCATTGGACAGCTAGTGACATTTGGCACTCTTGAAAAATTCTGTGAAGCTTGGTCACTGTAATTAGGTTCCAAGTGCATTCCACGGGAGGAGCAAGGCCAGCTGTCAACTGAAGTAGTCGTCATTTTTACGGTGTGACTTCTCAGTGTCTTCTGTAGCTGTCAGGGCGAGTGCTAAATGGCATGCTCTTTGTGTGTACTTGTTTGTGTCTTCAGATTGTCCTACAGGAGAATGCCAAATATTGAATCATTTGCTATGATAATGACAACTCTTTTACACAAAGTATAAATAAGGATTTTACTTCAGACCTTATTCTATTTGGAACCATTTGGCTAGCTACACAAGGTGCGTAGTAGCATTATTGCATCACAAAACAGTAGTAAATACAGTAGGATCTCTCTAACCTTTTCTCTTGCTGTGCCTTACATACAAAGTTCATTTCACTTACTATATTAAAATAAATAATTGAACCATCTGAACATCTTTTCTTAGAGATAGTGTTATGGAAATAGAGAGTCAAAAGAAATACCAGCTAGTAGTTTTCAAGGATGAATATCAATTTCCTCTAATGGTGCTTTTCACCACGAGTGAGCTGGGTTCCCTGCTGATCCTGCCCTGCTTCAGGAATGCTTCCTGTCCTGCCCCTTCCCCTCATAGTTGGTCATTTTGACATACTTTGCCACATGGTATATATTGGCTAAGCTGTAATGATCTCTCCTTCCACAGTAAGATTAGAAAAGAGGATCCTAAATTTCTTCCTTCACCTAAGACCAAGATGGGAGTTTTAAAATTACTTATCTATAAAAATATGCAGTTCCAAAACCTGCCTCCTTTCAGAATCTTGTGTAGCACTTCACAGGGAAATACAGTGGTCAGATAGAACCAGATCAGACAGCAGCCAATAAACCACTCCCAGCCTAGAAGCATAGGGCAATAATATAGATGGAAAACAGTACGTAGAGTCCAAGATTATGAGAAGTTAACTAACTAACCTTTAATTATGCTCCCGGTTATATCATTTGAGATTGCCACCAGAACCTTTTCAGCATGTCAGTTCTACTTGTTCCCAGTGCTATTTGCTATTGAACAATTCTCCGGCATTTGACTGTTGGGACCTATTATATCTGTAAGGAGAATTCAAGCAGGTATCCTCACGTTCCTTTCTTACAGTAACCATCCTGTTTCTCTGTATAACCTTTTCATGGGTGTAACATAAAAACTTTATAGCAGAGGGAAGATGTGATGCCTCAGTAGGGTAAAAGCATGTTCTGCCAAGCTTAACTACCTGAAACTGATCCCCAGGATCAATGAGGCAGAAGGAGAGAACTGAGTCCACAAATTGTTCTCTGACCCCACAAGTTGTTCTCTGACCTCCAGATGTGTGCAGTGGCACATGCTTGTCACAAACAAACAAGTAAGTATGAAAATTACTTCAGAGCAGGACTTTCAAAATTATAACTTCATAATCAAAGACAAATGATCTTTTCTAAGCCTCCTTATTTGTAAAATTGCAAAGCTTCTATGTGCAGCACTTAATCATGATACATAGTGTTTAAAATAGTTTGCGCATGGGTCTTGTAGCTCAGTGAAAAAACACTTGTCTAGTATATGTTCAGTCCTGGTTTAGTTCCCAGTACTGAAAAAAAAAAAAAAAAGCTAGCTTTAAAAAAACCTAGCTATCTAATGATCAATCTGAGCATTACACATTCATGTAAGTACTTCTTGGGTATTGAGACAATATCAAGACAGAGACCCTGCTCTCTGAAAGCATTTTTAGAGGAGTGTGTGTTCAAACCCCAAATGCAGTAATAAAGAGTAGATTTTTCTTTTTCCAAAACAAGGTTTCTCTCTGTCGCCCTGGCTGTCCTGGAATTCATTCTAGATTAGGCTGGCCTCAAACTCAGACATCCACCTGCCTCTGCCTCCTGAATGCTGGGATTAAAGGCGTGCACCACCACACAGCTATAAAGAGTAGATCTTAATTAGGATAATTAATTTCTTTCTTCTTCTCACTATTTTGCAGTACTGAGGATTGAACCCAGAACCTTACACATACTAGGCAAATGTTCTACCACTGAGCCACATCTCATCACAATAATTTTTTTAACTTTTTGCTACCTTTTTAGTATATAAAAATGTATTTCACTAAATATGACATTTTATATATGTATGTCATTGTACCTGGCTCCTCTGCCTATCTATCTGCTTCCCTCCCCCAAGTAGTACTTCTCTGCTTTAATTGTCATACGGATGGATGGGTAGATAGACAGACAAACAGATAGATATTTAACTCTATAATCTACATGACAAAAAAAATGTACAGTCTTTGTTTTACTTTACCCTCATTATTTCCCCAGTTTTCCCTCCCTTAGACCCATTCTTCTTTCACATTATCCTCCTTCTTCTGCTTTTGTATCTTCTACATACTATATTTTCTAAAGATTTATTTATTTATTATATATACAGTGTTCTGCCTTCAGGTACGCCTGCACGCTAGAAGAGGGCACAAGATCTCACTATAGATGGTTGTGAGCCACCATGTGGTTGCTGCAAATTGAACTCAGGACCTTTGGAAGAGCATCAAGTGCTTTTAAGCTCTGAGCCATCTCTCCAGCTCTACATACTATATTTATATCTAGATTCTGTATATGAGGATAAACATATAACACTTGTCTTTGCATAATTAATTTCTTGATTCAATGTTATATAGAGAGAAAAATATTTGGAAGAATGTAGCCTCTCTTAAAACTATATTTTTGTCAAGTACAGGCTTTTAGTAGAAAGTAGCATTCAGCTTTAAATTTTGACAGAGTGAAGGAGTTGATCTCAAGGAAGAGGAAGTGGCTGGTGAGGAGGAAGTTCTCTTAAGCCATCTTGAGAACTGTCTCCACAATTTAGGACCATGGAAGGAAAAAAAAGAGAAGGAGACTGGGAGGAAGGGAGGAAGGAATGAAGGAAGAGCTGAGGCTTGGCTGTGCTGTGTCTCAGATGCAGGAAGACAGATTTCACAATGTTTGTAGAAACATCCGGGCATGTTTCTTGTGACCTGACATCTTAAAAGGAAGAGACAATCTAGGAAGGATAGCAGGCTGCTGATAATGCACTATGCCTCACCAGTAAGAGGGAGAGAAACCTGTTTTGTGTAGCTGCACAGGAAGCCTTCGGAGACTCTGATAGAAATATCCCATTCATAGGTGAAAGGATGCTGAGCCTCAAGGGATATGACTGACAGCTCAGAAAGCTTATGTGACTTGCAATGGACTTTTAAACCCTATTAGGATTAAGAACCAAGTCTGTTTTATTTGCCTCTGTGTACCAGATGCTTGGCCTAGTAAATATTACTGAATGAAATAGAGAGTTTGGAAGAAGTAGATATAAAGTGTTCAAGTACTAGAAGTACCAGAAGCTTCAACTGCATTCGTAGAAACAAAATTCCCCATGCTGTATCAGCAATGTAATGCAGCCACAGCAAAAACTAACCCCATCCTTGGTTTAACTCATCAATCCATAGTGTTTTAAATGACAATTGTTACTGTGACGTGAATTCTGTCCAAGGCTGATAGTCTCCCCTGGAATATCTTTTTTTTTAAATCATCCTCAGTGGTATACTTAAGATAGACCATGCACCAAACAGAGAGAAGTGGAATTCAGATATTGTCACAGACATAAGTTGAAGAAAATAAGTACATTAAACCATAGGTGAGAATGTTTTGCAAGGCCATGGAGAAGAGGGTCTCCCCTTCTTATACATGCTTTCAGAGAGCAAAGCAATGACCAGTGCCGAGACAGGGATTGACTCCTTATGCACAAATGCATTTGCAGAATGACATGGTCTTTCTCAGAAAGTACCAAGAGCCTTCGCACTAGAGATTCAAAGTTGCAGCACTCTGTAGGAGGGACTGTCAGAAGTATTCAAGTCTGTGGATGAAAATCCCCTTGAAGGCTTTTTAAAGATACCAATACCTGGCTTCTTCTCAGATAGCCTGATATAGTTGTTCTGGAATGGGCTTGGTATACTTGTTTCTTTTAAAAAGTTCCTGGGAGATGTCCAGTGTGTAGTCAAGATTGAGCACTTGAGCTAAATGGTCAAACAGTTAACTAATCATTATTTAGCATTTACTTTGATCCAGATGCTGTTTGAACACATGATATAATTTCTTTTCTAGTCTTTATAAAAGCATGTGATGTAAGGAAAGCGCCATAGGCAGTTTCTTTACCTATGGCCTCAAAGTTAAGTGGCAGTGTCCAAGTTGGGACTGAGCTGTGACTCTGAAAGCCCTGAACCTCCTCAGGAAACTTCACTCCTATCATAACGCATTGCTGTTTCTTATTATTGTTTAATTCTGTCAATCAATAGTAGTTTAATAGGATTCCTTTACCACTTCCTACCAGAGTTGTTTTAGGAAGAGGTTTATCATCTAGCTTTGTTCCTTTGGAAGAATTACTAATCTCTCCATTTGCTAGGTCTATAACAGTATGCAAATAAATCCAGACTTTACAGAATCAAATCACTCTTCAAAATTTCCAGACTTATCTCTTGGCCAAAGAGCAATTAATCAAGATGTTTCTAGGAAGATATCAGTCAGCACAGAGAACATATCCTGAGACCATAAACTCAGCTCTAATGTGCAAGTAAATTTAAGTAATCAGTAATAGTTGGACAAAACCAACAATAAATCTTTTGAGCTGTGTTAGTGTCAAGTTGAAGGAAAATAAAGCAAAAGCCACACAAGTACGGCACACAGTACCAGAGAGGAGCTAGCCAGCAGCCAGTAATTATCAACCAATTCACAAGTTACACCCTGTCTCAAATTTCATAACTAACTTCTGTTACCTTTAAAGTCAGTCGGTGGCTAATGTATGTCTGTAATCACAGCTCCTTGGGAGTATAGGGCAGGAGAATCATAAGTTCGCAGCAATGCTGTCTAACTCAGTGAGACCCTGCCTCAAAAGAGCAAGTTTAAAAGGGCCAGGAGCATATCTAAATGGTAGAGCAGTTATCAAAATAAGCGCAAAACCCCTTGGAGTTCAATCTCCAGTACTGTAAAAGTAAGAAAATAAATAAGTCAGCTGCTGGGTTTAGTGTCATTTACTCATCATCATCATCATTATTATTTGGGGAAGGGGGTTCAAGAGAGGTTTCTTTGTGTAGCCCTGGCTTTCCTGGAACTCACTCTGTAAACCAGGCTGGCCTTGAACTCACAGAGATCCACCTGCCTCTGCCTCCCGAGTGCTGGAATTAAAGCCATACACCACCATGTCAGGCTTTCACTAAATATTCTTAAGGCTATGTATTCATATTTTAAAAGCTACTTGTTTGATGCGTTAAGAATTTGCCAGTGAAACAAACGAAATAAATAAGAAATAAGTGAATATGCTTTGTTCATGTAGTGGACATGACCTGTAACTCATACAGTAGTCACATTTATTTTCTTTTTTTTTTTTTTTTTTTTTTTTTTTTTTTTTTTTTTTTTTTTTTT